GTAGGTGGTGTATCTAAGAGATGGCTTCTTCACCTTTGTTAAACTATAAAATTTCTTTCAATCTTTATCTTTTGTAAAATTTTCTTCTTTGTGCTTGGTGTGCCAACATGGATATCCATATATATAAGAATAGCTTTGGTTGAGAAGGCTTGTCTATTGTTACCTAGTTTGTCCCTGGCTTCTTTTTCAATTTTCAATTTTTCCCTTTAGTATGGTTGGTGAAGTAATTTGGGTGGTGGGCTTTTGAAAATTATGTAAGAAATTTTGGTTCATTAAATTAGGCTAATAATCCAAAAGGAGAGATTTTTTTGAATTTTTATTTTTATTTTTTAAAAGTAATGTTAGAGTGATTATTTGTATGGTGTTATACTTGTAACTTTTGACTAATGTATCTTTAATTTTTGTACAATTAAATACTAGTAATCTAAAAAATAAAAAACCAAAATTACTTTAGAGAATCCGGACTCATAACTAAAACTCTTAAATATGTATCCAAAATATATATATATGTGTGTGTGTGTGTGTGTGTGTGTGTGTTTTAATTGTAAGTTTTACCAAGATTTTAACTATTCAAGATTGGTTTGAAAATTTTTACGAGTTTTAAAATTTGTTCAAATTTGATTCATTTTACCTTTTTATGTTTACAAAACTAAATGAGCAATTAATTGTTCAATGTAAAATTTATTTTTTTAAAAAAATTCTTTTTCTATATGTCAAGTAATTTCGTTTTAAACTTTAGCATAGTTGGATTTTCGACAAAATAAAAACTCACACAAATAAGATCAAACAACATATAAAATTGAAAATTGAAAGCAGAATGTTGAAAATTAAATAATAAAAACTAAATGATAAATTGGTTAAATTGAAAATTTGGTTATTAAAAAATTAAGCCTGCGTTTGGTTTGTGTTTTGTAAATGTGATTTAAGAGTATGAGTTGTTTTTTGAGTTTGTGAGTTGTAGAATTATGATTTGAGTGTAGAAAATTTGTTTGGTTATGGTTTTTAAATAGAGTGTTGAATTGTGTTTTGAAGATGTATTTTGAATTAAGTTTTGAAAGTTTGATGTGACATGTGAAAGGTGAAAATTTGTTTGGTAATGTGTTTTGAAAATTGTTTTCAAAACTTAATTCAACCAATAATTTATCATCAAACACACAACTCATATATCGATATCCATATTTTTTATCAACAATAATAACCAAACTATTTTTAAAATACTGAAATTAAAAATTGATTTTTTTGTCAAAATTTTTTTTTTGTAATTTTTTTGAATAATTGTTTTTTCGAAATAATTTTTTCTTTTTTAAAATAAACTTATGTCAATTATTTTCTGCCAATTAATTTTTCTATCAATTCATTTGTAAAATAAGTTTTTAATTTTTTTCTAACATTTTGTTAAAGTCAACAACTTTTGAAAATACATATTAATAGAGAAGGAATAAATACATTAAATTTAATATTTTAAAATACAAATCATAACGTAAATCTTACAAAACATTATCAATTTTTTTTTCCATTTATTACATGTTATGAATTTCGTCCAGATGTGGTAACAGAAATGCAATGCATTATTGTACCCGTTGAGCTCATATAATTGTGGGAATTGACATACGAAATGACTATTATGCCCCTCTTGACTTAAATGGAAAGTGGTTACATAGAACAAAATATAAAGGGTAAGATAGTAATTTCACTTACTTACTACCTACCCCCTATTGTTTCATAGCTGTGTGTTCAACACTGAGGTAAAAAAAAGGAGAGGCTACAACTGTGTACTCAGTACACGGATGTGATATCATTAAAAAAGTAATAATATTAAAAACAAATAATATTTAACAAATAAAAAGTAAATAAAAAAAAATACAACATAAACCTTTTGAACCTCACCCTTTCTATTAAATCTGAATCTCATTCCGTTTACCACACCAACTTCACCATCTCAGAAACACCTTCTCCAGTTACATCAGAAAACAAAAATTAGAGAAATAAAGCATATCCACCATCTCATTAGGTCCTTCTTCTCCACTTCCATAATTTACAGGTTAGTTTTGATGCTAGTTCATCTTCATATTAGCTTCAGACATTAGCTTCAGAGGGGTGAGGGAGGGGAAGAGGAGGACAATCGGGCGGTCATCCCACCAGTCTACCGGCCGGTCATCCAACGGGACATTCGGCTGGTCATCCCGGCCCAGTCATCATTCCACCTCCGTATCTGTTGGCTTTGTTTCATATCTATTCCATTTTCATTTGTTATATTTTTTGATTTCTGTTCTAATTTTGTCACACTATCATTTATTTTTCTGATTATCAGTTTCTAAGTTATAATAAACTGTATGAAACAAACTCAATATAAATGAGAAATATCATTCCCTATATTTTTTTTTTGTATAAAAATCTGTTTCTATGGCATCTGCCTAATTAAATTTTGCCACCAAATTTTTTTATATTTATTTTTTACATAAAAATAAGTTTGTATGCACAAAAATGTACAAATGGTTGATATATTTTTCATACATTTTTCTTACCTCTCATATGTTTTAATATACAATTTTCTTTCACTTTTGCAGTCATCATGCCAAGAACAATCATGCCAAGAACAAAACGAACCAGGCCCGAACTTGGTGAATCCTCAAACGCTGTACCACCACCACAGCAACAACATGATGGCTATCCAACTAATGATTTTGCAACATATCATCATGAACAAGCCTATGAACATTTCATTACTCGACCAATTGTTACGGGGAGAAACGTAAAACTACCTTCTCAATATGATTCAATCTTACTTGGCAAATTAGATACAGTGGGATGGTTACCATTAAATAATTTACCAAATAAGATATATCTCCATCTTCTACGATTATTTTATGTTCACTTGACACCGGGTGACCAACAAAATGAACCGTTTAGTCTTACCTCTTATGTTAAGGGGAAAAGAATCACACTCTTTCTCCGTCGTTTTGCACAAATTATTGGAGTCGAAACAGGAGATTTACAATGTTATTTTCAAAATGAGGCCGCATTAGAAAAAATTGTTGATGATGTCACTCAGATTTATACCATAATTTGTGACAACCGATTTAGCGGCACTAATTTACAAGTCAGCCATTTAAAACCTCACCTTCGTATTCTCCATCGATGGATAGTTGAAAATATCACTCCCAAAAAAGAACATTATAATAGTGTTTCATGTTTTGAAGTTTACTTGTTATATTATTTTGAAATTGGACAAAAATTAGATGTATGCTTTATATTACTAAAAGAAATGATGCTTGCAAAATTGGATACTCTGAGTGACCGGTCACTACCTTTTGGAGCTTTGTTAATCATAATTTTCAAAGCCCATGATGTGAACCTTGAAGGTGAAGGATGGATCAGAATCACTTCACCAATTTCTGAGTATACACTGACCCGAGCTGGTGGTGCTGACACCTTGATGGGCTCTATTAATCTTGAAAATGAACCAATACCTGATGAGGAAAAACCCAATGACAATGCCATGCACCAAATGAACAACCCCATTACTGGACTGATTATTTAGCCTTGGAACAAGAACGGTACAATCAGCGCCTACATTGGGAACAACAAATGGCTAATCAGCTCAATACATTGGGTACTCGATTCGATGAATTTGGTACTCGATTCGATGAAATTGCCACCGCTCAAAACTCACTAATTCATCAATTTGGTGAGTTTCGTGTAGACTTAAAGAGACGTGCTGAACTGACAAGGAACCGCATTGATCTGATTGACCATCGAGTCACTTAACTGTACCATCAGCATTTCCCTCCACCTCCAACACCACCTGACAAGGATGCTTAACTTGTTTAAAAATCAAGTAAAGCGGTTCACAGATATGGTGGTTATATTTTTTTCCCTTTTTTTTGTTTTGGTTATTTATTTGGTGAGTTTTGTTGTGATTGTTTTACTTTTGTTATTTTGTTATAAATTTTTCTATTCACGTAATGAATAACAACGAGGGGTTTTTTTTGGAATCATTTAATTACATAGTTATAATGTTATAACAATCTGTGCAAAAAGATTATGCATTGAAAAAATTATTTGTACAAAAATTAATAAATAGTACTTCATAAATGTCTACGAAATCCTTCATTTGAATAAAATGAATAAAAATTACAAAATTATTAAATAATTTGTCTGCATCAATTAATTTATAAAATTAAATTAATATTCTGAAATTAAATAAAACAAGTTACAATTTAATAATATTTAATAATAAACATTCTTTTTTTAATGAAAAGGAAAAAAAAAAGTTAATATAAACTTCTGTAGAGAAAATTAAAAAGAATACCTCAGCGTTTACACAAATTATACACCTTTACTTGAAGATGTACCCAGCGAATTTTTACACATTCTTCATATAAAATAATGTTTTGCTATAAAATCGGGTGATATAAAACAAAAAAATATAATTTATTTTTTTATTTTATTTTATTTATTATTATTATTATTATTATTATTATTATTATTATTATTGTTATTCTTATTATTATTTTTTATTTGTTACACTTTTAAATGGTGAACTTATCACCACCACCACCTACCATCACCAACCACCCACCTGCCAGCACCAGCCATCAGCCGCCACCACCTATTTGCCACCAACACCCAACACCCACCACCACCGAGCACCCATCACTACCCACAACCCATCTGCCACCCACCACCACCCATCTGCAACCACCACCCACCACCTATCTGCCACCACCACCCACCACCCATCTGCCACCCACCCACCACCACCCACCATCCATTTGCCACCACCACATTTAATTTAATGACAACATATTTACTTATAAAAGTTACTAAGAAACACATTGCATATTAATAACAACATATTTAATTGTCTTTGCTAGACTATATTGCATATTACACATTGCATGAACAACATATTTAAGTACACATGTACTAAGAAAACCATTATCTTCATTGCCCATGCGATGATGTTTGTGTTTTATTTCGTTTCATTGCCATTTAGCTCAATCGTTGTCCTCAGTATTAGTTATCCTGCAAGAAGATAAAAGAAGTCAGTAAATCACAGAAATGATGGTTGGGCGAAGTTATGTAGTAACAGTGTCATAATGACTAAAATTAGTAAAATAATTATGCATTTACAACCAGTAGTCAGTACGATATTCACTTGCCTTGTTCGCATCTCTTTTCTATGCATGGTGAACATGATTTTGCCACATAGCAGTAGCAATTGCATCCCTAACGTTTGATTGGGACGTTAACCCATGTTGTGACATGTCAACGTAGTCAGCTTGGTCTCCAACAAGCCCGTCTGCTTCTGTTTCTGCGGCCATTTCATTATCAGCTTCCATAAAGAATGGATCCATAGCTGCATGCAAACGGATCCAATTGTGCACTACACAACATACAATCACGAGAGGCCTTTGTCGTATAGACTTGTAATTTGGCATGGACCGCAATATTGGGAAGCGCTTCTTCAAAACACCAAATGTTCTTTCTATGACATTGCGTGATGACGAATGTCGATGGTTAAACGATTCCTTAGGTCCTACGTAACGATGGCCATGAAACTCTTGCAAGTGATACCGTTGAGACCGAAATGGGGCAAGAAATCCAGGCATGTTCGTGAAACCAGCATCAACTAAATAGTACTTGCCTACATGTAAATAATGAATACACAGTTCTATCAATTGATATGTACAAAAACAGACAAGGAAAAAAATGTACCGTATGTTATTCAGGGACAGTCACCATTGGGTAGGTGTGGGAACTATAGATCAACTCGTGTAATAGAGTCAACTAGAATAGCGTTGTCGTGAGCGCTACCTTCCCATCCAGAATTAATAAATGTGAGCAACATATCGAAGTCGCAAGCTGCGAGTACATTTTGCGATACCGTTGCTTTCCGACCGCGGAATGTATTTTGTCTTGAAGCAGGAACCCATGCATCCACCAATGTGCCATCGATAATACCGACACAATCCTAATTGACAGATATTTGTTTGATATTAAAAGCGAAACAAACTTCGATATTACTTTCATAATTAAAAAAATAATAATATTTATTAACACTTATTGATATGAACAAACTTACAGGACAGTCATACTGTTCGTACCTTGAACCAAGGAAAAAACTTCCTGTCATTTAAAATTTTTCCCGGTATGTCCTCTAGGTTACGTGGTTTGATAACCAATGATGAAAGCTTGCACAATGCCCGCATAACAATTTCTATGTGCCGACAAATTGTTTCCGTGGAGTGTTGAAATCTATCTGCCAGTAGTCGATGGCAATCATTTTGTGCAAGTGTGTAAAAAAATTCCAAGCGATTCCTCCACACTGATATGCATATGTTCAGTATCGATAAAGCCATTATGGAGTAAAGTGTCTTTCAATAAAATGAATGCTTGTGCATCCATTCGCATAACGTTCATCATTGTTTCTGGATGGCCATTTAATAGGCCGAAGATGTAATCTTCACCTCTGAATGGACACATTCGCTGCGGTTGGCGACTACTTGACGCGTTGATATGGTCATGCATTACAGCAATCATCAAGAAATCCATAAAATCATCAACAACCTCATCCTCCTCTGATGAGAGCTCCATTGTATTGTTTTCTGTGTCGGATGACATATGCCTTTGTCTGCATCACAGTAAAAGCATACTTATAAAATATGTTATTCATGTAGTAACAGTTAGCGTTATTGGTAAAACAGTAAAATTCAGAGGATAACAAAATTTATTTAACACATGGTCATATTATAATAACAGAACATAGTTTTAATATAATAGAAAACACTTAAAAGTTCAAAAAAAAAAAAAAAACATACGAACATAGAAAAGAAAAGAGGATATGATGGAATGAAAAAAAAAATAATAAAAACCAAATCAGGAATAATGAAATCATCAAACAGTTCAACCAAGAAGATTTGCTAACACAAGCAAAACAGAACTTCTCAGTTCACTGCAAAGCGAGGATCATGGCTAGGCGCAAATGGGTAGGAGTGCGCATAAAAAACCTTCGCCATTCCTTATTCTTGAACAGTGTTAGTGCCCTAACGTACTGCAACGGTGGTATGTCCCCAAGCTCAAGCAATGCATCTTGACATGCATCAAGGGAATAATCATCACCACCTGCACTTACAGCCTCAGTCTCATTTTCTCGTGCACGTGAATGTCCTGTTTTGGCTTGTACATAGGATGTGAAAGCTGCGCACACATCATTAAACCCACTTGACCGTGACTTTTTGGAACGACCACTATCAGTCTGGCTGGTTGCAAGGCCCCTCTTGTGACTTTTGCCCTTTGCTGGATCCATATACTCATCCCCGAATAAGTCAACAGGAATGGCCTCAGCAGCATTACTCTCACCAGCGTTACTCCCACCATCATCAGCGTTCCAAAATTTATTTAACATGTCATATTCTTCTTCTAAGTCAAAGGGTCCTTGTGTGGATGCACGAGACAGGGCCCCTGTGGCACAATAATTTTTAACAATGTACATGGAGCAAATATTCCGACAAGCCCGTACTCCTTTCTTCCAAGCTCCTGCCTGTCCGATCGATCTGCGAGCACAACGGCGGTGAGCTACCTGGCGGTGTGTGGCCGGAATACCCCTCCGACGATCAAGTTAGACACACACATGGATAGAGAGAGAGAGAGAGAGAGAGAGAGAGGATTGAGTGTTTAGTGTAAATCTCATCAAATGTTCAGCTGCCTCAGCGTGGGGGGCGCAGACTCGCTTATATACCTTCTGCGCCCCAAATCTAATCCCATTAGTCTCTCGACACGTGGTGCTGCTATCCCATCTGTTAGCACAATGTAGACGTCCCCGAATGCCCCGGGAGGATGAGTCCCGTTCTGTTCGTTTGTGGGTCACTACAGTTCAGACTCAAATTGTCACGGTTCTAAATCTGAACTAAAGAGTCCAAATCCGGCAAATCGTTTTGGAAAACTGATTTTTGTAAAGAAGTGCCAAACATGGACTGCTTTGCCAGATACAGAGTCGCCACCTAAATATTTTATTTTGGGGGAATTTAGGAAACCCTGACTCGTTTGCCTAAGGCCACGTGTCCGCCATCACCAGAGTTGTCTCGGCTCGGGAACTTAGGTACGACTGGGGAAGGTTAACTATGAGCACCCCTTCTCGCCCGATCCGAAGATTGGCCTCTACTAACCATGATATCTTGTTTTGAAAACATTATGCGTTCTTATTCAGGTTATTAGCCTAGATTACTAACCATGATATCTTGCTTTGAAAACATTATGCGTTCTTATTCCGGTTATTAGCCTAGATTTACTATGTGATGTGCACAACATGACAAATATAGACTGAGTCGCCTGAATTAGGATAAAGCATCGCATATCCGTTTGTTTGGAAATCGGTTTGAAATTTGCTACTCGCAAGTAGGCTAAAACATGGATTTCGACGAGTTGTTCCAACTCAAACAATCCAACCTTCACCCACAGGCATTCAGGCAGATATATCACATAAGCATATAGCCTCATAGTAAGCATGCTAATATGGCAACACTCACACACATGCAAGATGCTAAAGCATAAGTGCTTACCTAGTACTCCAAGCCAAAACAAAAACTAGTTAGTAATCAAATGTATGATCCTAGTTCGTGTTAAGATGGCTAATGCAACACATACAAAATGCAACTAGAATGGGCTTGGCTAATCTAAAAATGGCATGTGAAATGCGACAACTCGATACACGTATTCAAGTTGGAATGGCAATACTATGCAGTTAGTATGATGCGCCGAGCCCGGTGCGTGCAAGACTGATGAATGATGCACGCATGCATAGCATAAGGTATGCTAAATTAAACATGCCCTAAACTAACCATCGAAAGCTAGTAAATAAAAGGCAAGAAAGACGTGGGGTTGGAAGACATACACACACTCACGCACACTTAATACACAATTGCCCTCACTCGGAGGGTCCGAATAAATAATACAGATTTAACTAATTAACTAGCTGACTAACTAACTAATTAATTATAAAACTTCTAATTAATCAAGAAATTAATTACATAAAGAAGGCGGCCGCAGCCCCGCCTCGGAATGATGCATGCTCAGATTTGCCGTGCCCGGAAACCCGGTACCATGCCACTGTTGCCTCTGTTTACACTGCCCTGCTCCTTTGAAAATTATGAAAATCCTGAGGTTGCTTCTGAACTGCTCCTTGAGCATTGTGGAATTCCACCGGCCAAGGAATAAGATAACCGGCCATGGGAATATGCTCATCGGCTAAATATTGGGCCATCGGCTGAACACTGATGGTCGGTCGGCACTACAAATGGCCGGCCGACTATTTCTTCCTGCAGAATCCCTTGTAGCCAAAAGGGGACAGCAGCTTCTTGGTCGAGAAAATCAGTCCTTTAGCCTCTGAAAATGGCTTCCAAGATCCTTAGGTTGATGATGGAGGTGTTAGGCTAAGAGTTGGTGTGCAAAGGGGCCAAGAACTATGAACTTTGGAGCTCAAAGTAGTGAGATATACATGGTCTTTGCCTTAGCAAAATTTTTTTTTGGAACCCTTGCAATGGAAAAGGAGCTCTTCTTTTATAGAGGAACAAAGGTCTAAGCTTCTTGGAGAAGCTTGGAGCAAAAGGGCCAAGCTTCTCTTAGAAGCTTGTAGCAAAAGGGCCAAGCTTCTTAAGGAAGCTAGAGCAAAGGGGTCAAGCTTCCTCAAGAAGCTAAGCAAAAGGTTCAAGCTTCTCCAAGAAGCTAAGCAAAAGGTTCAAGCTTCTTTAAGAAGCCAAAACAAAAGGGTCAAGCTTCTTGGAGAAGCTAGAGCAAAAGGGTCAATGCTTCTTGGAGAAGCTAAAAAGGTTCAAGCTTCTTGGAGAAGCTAAAACAAAGGTTCAAAAGGTTCAAGCTTCCTCAAGAAGCTAAAACTAAGGGTTCAAAAGGTTCAAGCTTCTTCAATAAGCTAAAACCAAGGGTTTAAAAGGTTCAAACTTCCTTAATAAGCTAAAACAAGGGTGCAAAAGGGCCAAGCCTCCCCAAGAAAAGGTCTCGGCCAGAAAAAAGTGGCCGATTGATCAAAGAAATGGCCGGCCGACCAAAAACATTGCCAACCGGCCAACACTTTTGGCCAGTAGCAAGAAAACAGGGCCGGTGGCCTCACGCTATGGCTGGTGAGGTGTGGGGATGGCCAACAAGCTATTTCCCACCCTCAGAAGCAAAACAACAAGTGTTTGGTGCAAAACCAAACACAAAACAAACAAGTCGAGAGGTCTTGAGGCAAGGCGCGTAGCCGAAACCTCCGAGAACTCAAGACGAACACAAACATGGGTGATCATCGAGTGTTCAAACGATGACGTCCAAGTCTTGAGGACGGTCAAAAATGGGGTGTCTACACACAAATCTAGTTGAACATCACATAACTGGCAGCCCACACCACTGGGAGCTCGGTAGCCGGGCTGCAGCTTCTTGGCTGTCAACGGCCGTGCTGCGCAGCTAGCCAGAGCGATCCGCTCGCCAAGCTCAATGATGACCGAGCTCGGTTGCATTCCAGCTTAGCCGAGCTCGAGATAGGTTATGCTGGTTAGCCGTCGGCCTTCTTGTCGAGCTAACGCATAAACCGTAGAACCCTAGTGAGGCAGCGGACATCTCGACCGAACCTCACTTGACCGTTAGTATGACATCAATTATGCAACTATACCATTACCGAGCAACTATGCCATTACCGAGCGAAAATCCTTTCTGGATGGGCCCAGACTGCCATGGCCCAAATGTGTTCGGCCCACAATTTGTCCGACCCTTACCACGACCCAATCCAAATCATAATCTCCCTCTCAATCAATTTTTGCCATTTCTTGAAAATATTCAGACACTTTTGTTCTAAACTTCTTCATATTTCTGCTAGCCTACAACAATTACAAAACAAGAATTAAGCACTGTATATATCATGAAATATTTAAAATAAAATTAGAAAATAGTATAGATTAATGGAAAACCTTATCCCAAAATTCATCAGGTGCAACAACAGTGCCTATAATAGGATCCCATCCCAGACCAGTCTGTGCCTGTAGTCGCTTAAATGTCTGGTAATCAGCTTTCAATCGCTGATATTTTTGGCGTACCTTGACACCTGTATACCGAAATCTATATATGTTGTGCAACTGATTTGCATAA